GTTATAACGTCCGACTCATTCAAAAATAAAATCCAAGACCGTAATTTAAACATTTGTTTACACTTTTTTTAAATTGGATATTGAGAAATTGTATGAAAGAACTAAAAACAAACATATTTATATACTTGTACTGTACCTGAGCTTTTAGAAACCAATGCGGTTAGTTTTAAAATTCGATTTTCTAGCCTTTCTTTTCGACCACTGCCAGGGGGCTGTTTTTTTCGGTAGATCGTAAGTAGTAAAAATTGTGGGATTGTAAGATTCTGACCGCGGATCTTCCAATTTTTTACCTCCTTGAAAATAAAGACTACATATTCTTGTCCATTTTGACGGTTGTCAAGGTTTGCCTTTGACGCTACAAAAAACGATTCTAGGCAAAACGATTGTACTTTTCTTTTAAGCACTTTTTTTCGGTATTAATCGGACTCTTATTAGCAAAAAAAACTTAAGTTATTAGTAACTTATTAGCAACAAAAACTTACGTTATTCGACGCACAGAATTTATCAATTTTTTTTTGCGCTCGGATTCCCACGTTTTTTTGGGAAACCGGTAAAACCTTAAACCCGGATTTCTTCTTGATAAGCACCCAACAACACAACAAATCGTTCCACGTTTATTTTTCGCGATATTTTCCGCACACATTTTAAAAAACACTTATTTAAAATAAACGCGTTTGACATTTGATTTTCAAATCGGAACTTAAGTTACGATGATGACGGCCGCTAGTTGGCGACACTAGCGATACTTCTTTAGCCTATAGGTTATTTATTTTACGTCAGACCAGATCTGGTCTGACGTAAAATAAATAACCTATAACTTAAAGTAACAAATTTTGATATTTAAATTTGGCATTTTCTATCTATCTCGAGATAAAGAAGGTCAGACAGGGACTCCCTGTATTTTTTTCTATCCAGTCTGACGTAAAATAAATAACCTATAACCTAAAGTAACAAATTTTGACATTTAAATTTGGCATTTTCTAACATTGTTGTTTGTTGTTATGATGATTAAGAATTAAACTATTACTTTAAAGTAATAATTCCTTCTTCATTATTTAATAAGATACAGGGGAGTCATATTTTCTTTATAAGGCAACATTGCCTCATAATAAATTTGTTATGAGGCAATGTTGCCTTATAAAGAAAATATGACTCCCCTGTAATGAAGAAAGAATTTTTTAAACAATTTTCTGGAATTCCTGGGGGTCTTAAGATAATACACCTTCATTTTGTCGCACTAATTGTTGGACACCCTGTATATGTATGTATATATATTTTTAAAATTTGCCTTATAGAGGCTAACATTTTTTAATGCCTAGGTTTAGAAAATGTTAGCCTATATATACTATATATATTATATAGGCTAATTTTAAAAATATTGTTTTTTTTAAATATATATAGTTGATTTGTCTGAAATCACCCTGAACCTTTATTTGGAGCGCGTTATTGTACCTGCTTTTATAAAATATGGGGTTTTTAAAGGAAAATAAAAATTTTGATAACCATTTATTTAAATAATATCACAGACTTAAATAAAATAAAATATCACAGCTAAAACGATATATCCACGAGGTGCTGTCGAATATTAACCTGAAACGTACAAAATATAATTAGTCAAATAATTTATAAAAGAACAAATATAAAGCCAATGAAATATTCTACACATACAGCCATTAAAATTATTTCAGCATACACTGTTTAAATAATTTTAGTTTGTTGTACTGTTTAGTTTAATTTATTTTATGTAATGTAAAATCTAAGGTAATGAAATATGTACAAAATAAAATTTTAAATGGGATATTTTGTAAAGTAAATCTACAAAATAATATTTAAATTTCAAGCAATTTAAATTAAAATAAAATAAAGAATAACAAATGCTTTTCATATAAATAATAAATCATTGACTTTTAATAATACAAACAATAAAAAAACAAGATAACGGGTAGATTAAATAATAAATTATAGTTAATTATTAATTTTTACATGCACTATAAATTAAGGTTTAAATTAAAATAAAACGAATTATTTATTATTAAAAATGTTTTACACGTCCTTTTAAGTTTTAATTACTTTACCTGATTTCGCAGTTCACTAGAATTTAAATTTATTATTAAGGAAAATAATTACACGAATTTTAAACGTTTATTTCATAAAACACCAATTGTAATTACATTTTAAGAACATTTTTAAGTCAGAGCTATTCTACAAGCATTTTTTTAAATGAAAACCATTCCAGTATATAGTATATAAGCTGTTCATTATATTAGGTTTAAGGAAGAGTGGAGAAAATGTGGCAGTAATAAATTTTGACAAAGTGTTGCACTTTTTTTTATGGTACCTACTGTATTTATTGAACCTGAGTATTAGTCTCAAAGTGTGATATTATTTCCGCTGCTTCTAAGTATTTAGTTTTGGCATTGAAAATGTTTTAAATACCCTGTTGTAAATGACCGATTAATTCCTGTAGAAACCAATTGAAGTATTGGTTGGTATCAATGGGTCTGAATTGGACTTACTGAATTTAATTGGGCGGGATATAAAACAGAAATTGGTTTTTACTTATTTTTTATTGGATTCTATTGGTCATTTACAATAGGGTACATTTGCCTCTTTTAATTTAATTAATAATTAAAATAGTTCCAGAATGCGAACAATTCAAAATAATCTGCGTTTTACTACCCCGTGAAGAAAAATATGCTGGAAAATGCACATTGCATAGCTGCGCACATTTCCCCAGTCTCCCATATAAATATTTACGCCTATCGGTGCGCACTGCGCAGCAACATTGGCGATTATGTAATTGACAGTACACATAGAATAACTCGTTACAATTGCACTACATTTAATAATTTGTTAAATACATTAAATTATTTTTAAAGCGTTTATAATTATACCATTGAATGCTTTACTAACGATTGCTTAAAGAAAATAAATGACACAACGCACGTTTAAATAAGGTATTAGGGCCATTTCAGGCATGCGCACGGGACAAATTACAAAACTGTATTTATACAAAAAATGCTAGGTAATTTATTATAAAATATTTTGGCATCAAAATTGTTAAACATACTTCTTTTATTAGGCTATACATTAAATTAAAAAAAACGCAAGAAATATTTAATAAAAGTAGAGATATTGTAATAATTGACTGGTGTGAACGGGACAAGATAAATCTTTTTTTTGTCCCATCCACACCTTTTAATTATTACAATTATTTCTACTTTTATAAAATATTTCTTGCGGTTTTTTTATTTAATGTATAGCCTAATAAAAGAAGAATATTTTTGACAATTTTGATGCCAAAATATTAAATAATAAATTTTATAAAAACAGTTTTGTAATTCGTGCGTTTCGCGCCCTTGAAATGGCCCATTAGTGAAATAATTATACTAATAATTATAATTATTTTAATAATTATTAGCCACTGCTAATTGAAGTGGTTTAAATCATTTTAATTTAAAATTTATAGGTATTAAAACGAGTACCGTATTAAAATTAATATCATTTATCGATTTTAATAAACCAAATAAATAAAAATTTCAGGACCATTGTATATAGCTTTATTTTAACGTTAAACACAATTTTTAAAAGCACCACACAATTAAAAAAAATGTATGACTGCTTATGTGTAATATTAATAGGTACTTCTGTTAAAAACTTTTTAATTAAAGCAAAAAATTGCAAGAATAATATAAAAATTTTATTATTAAAATATAAAGAGGTATATACATATACATACATACATATAAATATTTATATTGCACATAAGTGATCCCAAAAAATCCGAGTTTTAACGCGAATTGGTTCTGAATAGTATTTTTTAAACGACGCACAGTGGCCCAAGTAAGCTAAAAGCTGGCCAAAAATAAAAAAAAATAGATTTTTTAATTTAAAGTTCAGCTTTAGGTTTCATACCAAAGACCCTGGCGCAATCTCCTGTGAAATTGATGATTCTTTACTCTATTACGTTATGGCAAAGTTTTTAATTGCCAAGTAACTGCATTTTTATTATTTTCCAATATTTTACTGAACCGGTTAGAAGTGTATCGAAAATGTTATTTTAGGTCCAAAACGTACTGATACTGCATCATTAAAAAATGCATAATGTGATATTATTTTTGAGAGGTGTAAATTAAAGTCATGGAGCTAAAACAAAATTACCTCCTACTATGGCTTTCTGTAACATCTAAAATTATTCTTAATTGTGCTTTCCAAGTGCCTGTAAAAAACTAGGTGCACATATCTGCAGTGTCTTTATTTAACTTATTATTTTCCCTAGTAGACGCGCAGAACATGCATGTAAGTTTCAAATGAAGGCCTCAACCCCTGAGGTTTATTTTTGTTATGATGCTGTTGTTATAGAACTGATTGTTTTTGAGTAGACAATTTCTTTTATATTTTTATATTGGTTTGATTGGAACATTTTCACTGCACATTGACTTTATATTTCCATTATGCTTATGCTTCTTTATAAAGAAGTATAAGCATACCGGAAATATCTAACTCAGAAACGTATGAAAAAATATTAAAAAATACATTTAAATTTATTCCACTCTACAACAAATTAGTACTGATTTTTGACAAAAATAGTGGGCCATTTTGAGTGAGTCATTTTATTTTTTTTAAATAACACATTTTAATTCCTTGACCTCAAAAAGCCCTTAATACAAATTTTTGTGGCAATAGATGCAATTTTACAAAAATGAGCGGATAAGTCGGCTATATTGTTTTTAGGAATGTTAACCTTACATTTGAATTTCTTCACCACGAAAAACTCATAAAAACGGCTCCCCTGGGCCCCCTTCACGGTGACACAGGGCGTCGCGGCACATACTTTGGGAACCACTAGTTTATACCATTAAAGTAAGGCTTTATACAAAAATCTTCTGCTATAACTTTTTTAAATTATTGCAACTTTTTAAAATAATCTACAAATTAATAAAAAAACAACAAGTACTTTGGATTTTATTTGATTTTGTTTTGTGGGGGATTTTTTTGGTTTATTTTGAGGGTCTGGTATAGGGCGAAGTTTTGTATCGAGAACTTTCACTGTGTCGGGCAGCGGACGAACTCGAACTCGTAGATTTATACTTCCAACGGTGAGAAGAGGGTTCTGTGCACACAATGTTTTAAGTCAATTTTTATTATTTTTAACTGCCTTCATTATAAAAAAAAACACAAAAGAAGAAAATTTGTATATTTGCTCTTTAAAACAAATTAGGAATTATAACACTGGTACACAAAAAAACAAATAGCAAAAGAAAGGAGCAGTACTTAACGTTAGGTCAGAAAGTGACTTATTACATTAGGTATATCTAACTAGCTAAATAAGATTCCGGCCCTTATAATAGGTTTCAAAAAAAGATTTACGTCGAACGAGAAGGTCATTTTTAAAACAGACCTATCACACTGCGACAAAATTTGATGAAAAAAAAATAGCTGGGCTGGGACTATGAAAAATGTATACAGTATTTATAAAAAATGAATACTTGGTACTTTTTTTATATTTTAAATACACAAAATTGTAATTTTAAAAAAATCAAAAGTCTTTATTTTAAATATCGACTAATTTTTTACCAACTTAGGAACGTCCCATAAAACAAATAAATAAAAATATAGTAGTTTTTAATGTGAAGTTCTTTAGTTGGTGAAATAAAAAATTAAAAACTTATATAGGTTTTGGCATATATAAATCCATTTCCATGGTCACTTTAAAACTTCTATTTTTTATATTAAAATAAAAATATATTAACTCGAAAACTAGAGACAATATGAAAAAATCCCGAAACTTAATTTTCTCAAAATATAATTTAAATATTTTAGTGGTATTGGAAAAAATATTGAAAAGTTCAGACTATTAAACAGAGTTGGTATTTAAAAAGAAAATTAACGAATTAATGAATGAAAATATTTGAGAAAAAGGGAAATAAAAATTGAGGCTTTGTATGAACAAATATGATATTACATAGTTTAATATCCTTTTTCAGTATCAATGAAACCAAAATTTGGTGACGAAATATTAAAAACTCAGAAACAAAAATGTGTTCCTAAAAAGACATTTTTGTGTACCAGTGTTTTTTACTAATAAAATAGTTTTATAAGTTTAAAAAATTAATTATAATAAACATTAAAATGTGTTTTTCTTTGACATGGCAGTGTTTATATACAAAAGTTTATATTTTATTGTTTTTTATATTTTTTGAGGACGCGGATACCTTTTGTTTTTTAGTATTATAAATAGGAATAGTGGGAAATATTTTAATTTTTAATTGTAATATTTATAGGTTTTATCGAGCGGGCTTGTATTTTTTAAATCGCAATGTTTTAAAGAGTGGTACAATACTATAAAAATCTTAGATTTAAGAGTTGAAGAGATATCATAATATAATGGCAAAATTTTAATCAAAGATTTTGTCATAAGAATTTTGCTAGAACCTTGTATATTTTTTGACGTTTTACGTTTTATCTTATTAAATACTGTCATATAACATTGACATCAGGTTCTATTATTCTATTCACTAAAAAGTTAAATGATCTATTTAGTTTTTTCTAGAGTGATTAGTTTATGATGTCATCGGCCATTTTTTTGAATTGCACCCCCAAATTTTAAATGGATTTGTTCCATACTTTTGAAGGTCACTGTATATATTACATACTATACAGGGTGTCGCATAATTAGCGTGCAATACTTAATAATAGCAGATTCTACGTACAAAAATAGGAAGAAAAGTCCATATTAACATAGGTCGAGAAATGCTTCCTTAGGGAGCTTCAGCCCCCGAAAGAGGAGCCCCTGATGATAGTTTTTATTTAATATCTCCAAAACCGTTCAATTTTAAGAATTGATCAAACTCCATTTTATTTTTGTACGTATAATCTGCTGTTAAAATATTGCATGCTAATTATGGGCAGGGCCGAGCCCAGGGTATCTGCCGCCCGGGTGCAAGAATTAAATTTGCCGCCCCCATTAATGTAAAAAATTAGGTTGTCGGTAGGGAAGGAGTTCATAATTTATCATTCTCAATAAACATACAACAAATTTTATAGTAAAATAACAAAGTATTTATTAACAAATACATAAAAGAATAAAATAAAAATACATTCAGGAAAAAAAACAAAAATAATTAAACTAAACTAAAAAACTAAAATCTACTTTTCTTGCTTTTTTAATATCAAATTCCCTAATCAAGTCGCCTACATCCAAGTTGTTAGAAATATCTTATTCAATACTTATAATTGCTAAATTTGAAAGCCTGAATTGACTCATATTGGATCTTAAATAGGTCTTAATTAGTTTTAATTTCGAAAATGACCGCTCTCCATGGGCAACAGTAACTGGCATCGTCAAAAATATTCTTAAAGCTACAAATAAATTCGGAAAGATGCTTTTTAAATCATTAACTAGTTTTTAACTTAAACGCATTAAAAGACAAAATAAACTACTATATTTGCATCCTATTTGCCTCATGTTAATAGAAAAACTAAAAATTGCTGAAATACGCAGCCGTCAAATCGGAAGAAATTATGCTTTAACTTAACAGTTCAGCTTGTAAACAATATCACGTGGTACACAGCGCGCGATTTGATTGGTTTCCCGTAAGCCCGCTTCCGTAAAACATGAAACTTGACTCGAAGCGGACGGACGGAAAGCGAAGCGGGCGGGCGGCAATCTATAAACCGGGCTTTAAGAAAATTGTCATTATCATTTTTTGTGGCTATCGCGCGTCCGGTTATGTCTTTTTTATCATTGCCGCCTGACAGCACAATTTTAGCATTGTTTTTATGTGTAGAATAAAAACGATGATTCCTTGAAACGCCGACATCAATAAAACGCAAGTGATTTTTAGAAAGTTTTTTGCATATTGCAAGGTGGCTTTTTTATTCTTGATAATATGACAATTTTTTTGATGATATTTTGCCGCCCTGTGTTAGTGCCGCCCGGGTGCCATGCACCCCTTGCACCCCCGGCACGGCTCGGCCCTGATTATGGGACACCCTGTATATTTGATATAGCATAGAAACAGATTAATTCGTAATTCTTGACATACCTGTTATAACATCGTGACGTCACGCGCTCTTTTCGAGGTCATTGAAGCGTTTTTAATTGAGTTATTCAAAACACTGAAGCGTTCTCAATTTTTTTTAAGAAACGTTTAAAAATTTGTCTTCGTACAACCTCGTATGCGTAGATTCAAAAAGGGCAATAACACCATTACGTGCGTTTAAAAAATCTGTCAGTTGGTTGTTTTTTGAGTATTTTTATTATATGGAAGAAACTTTATTTTTTATAATTTGGAAACCTCTTAAAATTTAAATTAAGAGTTAAAACTTTAACTGCATTTTTATTTCGGCATTCTGGAATGTTTATATTGCAGGCTCCATTTTGTAGCGAAAAATAATGATATCGGTAAGACTTGTACATTAAAAATACACTTATTATTGAATGATTTTGTCGCAAGGAAATCTAAAATTCTTGTATATTTAAGGAAATCTCTCAACTTTTCGTACATAGGTAAAATTTTACAACCTGATGCTTTGCATGGGTATTTTTCCCCACACAAAAAACGTTATTACAAGGATTCTAGCACACTCTATTGAGAAAATCCCATCCACATTGAATACAATTGTACATTTAATATATTTTAAGTTGTTGTCATACATTCAGAAAGTTTTATCTCCCCTCTCTTTAATCTAATGAAAAATAAACAAAAATTTCACTCTTACCGTAAGAAGAACTGCTGCTCTCCCTGTAATACTCCGCGTGAGGTGAATCGTAGTCAGCGTCGTGGTAAGCCGACGATGAGTATCCTCTGGAATGACTTACTGAAGAGGTGTACACCGGTTCGTAGGCGGGTGAGGAGGGTTCGTAGGGGTCGTCGTCGTAGCCGTAGCTCTCCTCCATAGCGATGCGCGCTCTGTCCAAGATCGACATTATCTTCGTTTTGGCGGGCATGACGCGAGGTGTCGACACCGGCGTTCGGCTTGCGCTGCGCATGCTCAGTGAGGGGCGCGCCAGGGATACGGAAGCAGGTTCCGACGATTTTGAGTCTGTGGCAATTTAAAGGCTGTTTATGTTTGTTCTTCTGTTTATTTTATTTATAAATTAGTTAAATTTTGAAAACGGTTTTAAAATTTAATTATTTTAACTCAAAAAATTAAACAGCTGCCATCCCATAAGAGCTTCTACATACATATGTATATACATACAAGATAATAATAGGGTGTATTATCTTTGTCTACATATCCTCATGAAAGAGGAAACATTTTGTGGCATGCGTCAAATATTGTTCCTCTGACCTTTTTAACAGTCTTTAATGACGTAAACATTCAATCCACGTTGATATGCCTTTACAGTGTATACCTATCTTAACATATGAAATTTAGTCGAAGTATACAGAAAAAACTAAATTTAAAATGTATGTTTTAACTAAATTAATTTTTTCTTAATAAACCACTGAATTGACGAAAAATAAACAAATTACAAATTAAATTGAAACTATTTTTCACACAATTATTTTCATCATCATTGAAACATTACAATCGAGTTTATATTAATAAATATTTCTTATTAAACATCACATGTATTTTAAATAAACTTTTTTAAATAGTCCGGTCAATATAGACATTCGAAGGTACATAAATTTACAACAAGCTGAAAATCAGTAAAATTGTTCAGAATATAATTATTAATAAAATTTTAAAGTTCCCCATCATTCCCCTGTATGGAAAATTTTTTATTCAAGGTCAAAGATCAAAAAAATGATTTTTCGCGATTTTCAGCAAAACGGTAAGTTTTGTCATAAAAATACACCAGACAAAAATTGTACATCATAAAATAATCTATAAAAAATGTATCAATACTTTTTTTCTACGAGCCACCGTTTCTGAGATATAACGATTCGAAAAGTTGTAAAAGTTATAATCGCCATAATATGCACACGTCTCCACGCCACCTATGAGGTAGTTTACTAAGCGCGTTTTTAAACGTGGTTTCCCCAGTAGGCCTATTTCACGGGTCACTTGTGATCCTGTTTAATTTGAAACTATTGCAAAATAACGGAAATTAGCAATGATTGGAAAAGATAATAGCGATGTAAATTTAAAAAAAGTACTGATTCGTAACATTTAAATTCTTTTTCTTGTTCTTCTTGATCTTCTTGTTCTTGTTCTTCTTCTTGTTGTTCTTCTTCTTCATCTTCATCCTGGGTTCAAGTAAATTGCGTCAATAGCGATGTATCGCATCTCACCTCGTTGGAATTAAATGAATCCTCCACTGTTGGTGATTCAACATTAGAGCACGACCGGCCTTGACAATTCGTACATGCCAGAGAATAAAACAGTCCGACTTTTTTGCAACCACATTTAGCACTGCATCCCTTTTTGCAGTTGCAAAAAATTGTGTTCAGCAGTTTTTCCGGCGCAGGTGGGAGTAAAGTTTGAACTGGTTCTAATGTGTTTTTGACCAACTTCCAAACCTACCCTATTGAAAATGCCATATAGAACCCATATTGAATCCGATAAGGAAACGTATCTGGTTCTATATGGTTTTATAGGTCCTATATGGAAAGTCCTGGTTAACATTACGGATTCTATATGGTTGAATATGGATTTCCATTTTAAAAATTTTCATATTCAACCATATAGGGAAACCTATCTGGAAATACATATAGAACAGAAACCAGATAAATCCATATACAACCATATACATGTCTTTATAAAGACATGTATATGAATGTATATGGATTTATCTGGTTTCTGTTCTATATGTTTTCCAGATAGCTATATAGCTTTCCCTATCTGGTTCTATAGTGTTTTAGAGTGTTTTTATCTGGTTCTATAATGTAATCTTCTATCTGGTTCTATAGTGAAATGCCTGTTTCAAATACCTATATTGAACCAGATAGAAACCATATAGAATCCAGATACGTATTTTTTATATGGTTCTATATGGCATTTTCAATAGGGTAGTCTGTAGGGTCTAGCTGATAACCAAGCCACACTTGAACATGGTAATATACCCGAAAAAGATGTTGATGAGCAGCAAATGAGGTTGGAGGAAGACAAGCTAATTGAACTTGTTTTTTACTTTTAGAATTTTTAACGAAACATGCCTATCGATACTTATCAAAGCAGGTAGTTTTTTTAGGAGCTCCGTATATAGAAAGAAGAAATCGAATGCCGATAACTTCTTGTCCCGAAGACCCTTTTCCTCGAGTTTGGACGAAAAATCTCCGCTCGTTCGAAAGTTAAGCGAAGACAACGGAACTTGCCAAATTTGACGGAAAAATCGAAAAAAAGTGGACTTGGACCTTTTCGACACCGGAAAAATTTGGTCCGCGGATAGGTCTCGTGAGCAGAAAAAAAGGATGCAAATTTCAACCTTCAAGGGCCTCCGAGCTACGGCGCTTAGAAAAAACGGATATACAGACAACGGAAAAAATAAATATTGCAAACGGGCCGGATACGCCGGCAACTTTTCGAACAGCGTTCTTTTTTATTTTTTTCGAAAAATTTTCAAACGTTTTTTAGGTCAAGAGAAATTTTCGAAATTGGCCGAACGAAATACACGAATTGACGGGAAAAAGACCAAAGTTTGACATACTAAAAGATGAGCTTCATCGAATAAAAACTAATCGGCCAGAAGCCCGTTTAATTTTTGTTGGGTATTCAAAAAAGTTAACCAATTAAAATCCTCGAAATCAAATCGATAAGGTGGCAAATGACAGGTGGAATATGACAGGGACAAATGACAGGTGACAGATGACAGGTGACAGATAATAGGTGATAGATGTCAAGTTGACAAATGACAAGTAACTAATGACAGTAGACAGATTACAATTGACAGATAACACATAAGGTGACAGAAGACGTGAGAAATATAAAATTCATCTTTAAAATTACTACCCAGTTTAGGTGGTGCGGTCGCGGCGCGAGTCCCACCCGCAGCGAGCACCAACTATGGCAGGTGAAACAATTGAACATGAGACAGATCATCTGTTATCTGTCATCTGTCACAGATTTTGTCTCAAGGTTACAATGGCGTATAAATTAATTAATTTATACCCAGTCCCTTAAGGGACTGGGTTTTATTTCGCTTGATATTCTTATAGTTATAACTTATATAGGTATACTTTATATTTTAAGTGTAAGTTAAAATGACCTATAGAAAAATATTTTAACATATATTACAACTCTAGAGATACGTGGCGTGCATATTATGACGATTACAACTTTTCGAATCGTTATATCTCAGAAACGGTGGCTCGTAGGAAAAAAAGTATTAATACATTTTTTATAGATAATTTTATGATCTACAATTTTGTTTTGGGTATTTTTATGATAAAACTTACCGTTTTGATAAAAATCGCGAAAAACTAATTTTTTTGACCTTTGACCTTGAATAACAATTTTTCCATACAGGGGAATGATGGGGAACTTTAAAATTTTATTTATAATTATATTCTGAACAATTTTACTGATTTTCAGCTTGTTGTAAATTTATGTACCTTCACTGTTATTTTTTGGTCTAAATTGACCGGACTATAAATAAATATTGACATTTTGATGTTTAGGGTAGCGCTTCTAGACCAGGGTAGCGCTTTAGCAAATTAGTGACAGGGACTGTATTTAGTTCTGTCAAGTATGAGTAAAATAAATAACCTATAAGTAAAAGAAACGAATTTGACACTTTTTAATTTTGTTGTCATGATTATTAAAAATGAATCTACCAATTTATTAGTACGCAATGTTACCATTTAAAAAATATGAATCTCCTGTATCTTTTTAAATAACAAAACATTAGTTTCTAGGAAGAAATGTTTAAAAAAATAAAAAAAGATTTTCAAAATTAAAGAATAACTTTAAAATGTTTTTTCAAATCAATGTGTCAGTTTTACTGTCTTGTATTTCAGCTTTTAAATGCGCCTACCACTCCTTGCGAGAAAAATGCTAGCACGTATTGTTATCTGTCACTAACAGATTTTTCCCCAAGTTCTTAAATTACCTTATTTGGTTTATTTCTACATGGTGTTTTACCAGCAGATCGGTATAGCCCAAGGGTATGTGCAGTTTTTTAAGGCGATTCAGGATGTGTTTTTAAAAATTTTCCAAGGCCCTTCGTTTCGAAGTATGTATTTTGTCAAAATTTTTGATGAGCCGTAACTTCTGAACGGATTGATTAAAATGAGTGAAATTTGGTAAGTATACTCTGCTACTGACACTTGACACACTGTATTTTCGGCCAATCCAAAAACTACAGGATCGTACTTAATTTCTTAATTGTAGCGTTATCGCGGCTGCTGATGAGATCAGGGAGAACCCTGATATGATCCGTAGGGCAACCCAGGATTTAATGAGGTTAGGAAAATGTGTTAAGTTTGATGACGGCCTTTTTAAAGATCACCCCCATTGATTTGCATTATCTTTCTAACATTGTATGTGGCGTTTTTCTCCTGTTTTGGTAGTACCCAGTGTGTGACAGTGGTTTTTGATATATCAAAATTTGATATATCAAAAACCACTGTCACCAGGGCCATGGTAGTCTTTTTCGAACTAAACATATACATATATATATGTTTAGTTCGAAAAAGACTACTATGGCCCCTAATTCTGTCAAAATCTATGAAATAAATGCATTTATTAAAAATAGCAATACCTAGGCAAGTAAAAAAATAATCTTTATATTTTTTTATTTTTAAAAAATTATACAGGGTGTCCCAAAAGTCAACGATATCCTTTGAAGAACTAAGCTCATGACTAATCAGAATATCAAAACATGGCTTTGGTAAAAAATCGTTAGTTTTTGAGATATTGACATTTTCATGAATTTTGTGAAACTTGACGCTTTAAATAAGTTTTTCGAGTGCCATATCTACAAAATTTCATATTCCAAGATTTAATTTTATGTTGCGCAACCCTGAATAGGCCTGAGATTGATTACAGTTCAAAATAAAACTAATAGTAGTTTTTATTATTTAGAAACAAACAAGGTCTCAAGTTTTATAAAATTTATAAAAATGCCAATATCACAAAAACTAACAATTTTTTCCAAAGGATATCGTTGACTTTTGGGACACCCTGTATATAAAATATTGAAATCCAGAAATCATTATTACTTGATGAAATTTATGAACAATGTTGAAGCATTTTATGCAGTTTCCGAAAATGGCACTAACTATTGCAGAAAATGCAACTTTTTTCAAGGCCAGAACAATTAGGTTCGGTCCCGTACTTTTTGGATTGGCCGAAAATACACAGTATCAAGTGACAGTCACTCGATTCTATCAATCCCCTTAGAAGATGGCTCATCAAAATTTTGACAAAATACATAACACACCCTGTAACTTTAAAATGAAGGGCCTTGGAAATTTTTTAAAAACAGATCCTGAATCACCTTAAAAAACTGCACATACCCTTGGAATTGGAAAATTTAAAGTACAGATCCGGAATCGCCTTGAAAAACTACACCCACCCTTAAGTTATGTAGCTGCTGGTTAATCACCCTGTATATTTTATTGTATACAAGGTTTTATTTAACTTATTTAAACATGTTCACCATAAAATAAATATATTTGGCAAAATTAATCTTGGTGCTTGCTTATAGAAAGAAAATAAAAATAAGGAAATTAAAGATAAATATTTAGGCGATTTCTCTCATAAAAAATTTAAAATTATTTCAAAATTTTTATTAAATGTTAAGCAAAGTTGTATTTTACATATTTTGTAAATTTGGATAGACATAAAATTTGTAAATCTCATTTTATTGGACGAGTTTCTAATTTGCTACCAACAAAACATTCCTAAAAAAATAACATGCTAGATGCAAAAAATGACGTGCATAAATATTTACTAGTGGTTTGTTAGTAAAATTTGTGTAGGACCTTTTTATCGGATACTCACTTAAGCCATCAGGCGGTGTTACAGGAGCTCCTGCTCCGTTAACGTGCATATTGACAGGAAAACCTTGATCAAAAGCAATATTTAAAAATTAAGCTTAAATAAAAATCAGGCATTAATATTCGGTTAATGTTTTCATTAATTCGGCATAAAAAACGGAGTCACTCAGTTACTCACGCAAAATAACAGCGGGTCCTTGACGAAGAACAGAACGAGAAACAGGAGGATCTAAAGTAAAATCGTCAAAATAAATAAAATAATTTATTTCAGTATAAAATATATAAAAATAGAGTTAAATATGGTGATAAATAAATTCAATTCTTTTTAATGAATAACTAAAAACGATTAGGTCTTCGCATGAATGGATTAGTCGGTCGGTAATACGTGTAGCCATACTCACGAGGATTAATAACACGTCCTAAAACATTAGGCCTTACAGGCCTGGGCATCGGCCCTGGAATAGAAGGCTCATCCTCATCTAAAGTAAAATATACCAAATAAATAACTAAAAAAAGCAATACAAAATAATAAAAAAAACAGGCAGCAATTGTACAATGTCAAGGCACATTCTCAAAAAGCATTCCAAAGGTTTTAGGTAAAAGTGGCGTTTTTTGCGGTCCTTAAGTTTTCAAATTATAAATATTTATAAACGAAATTTAAAATCAAATGATTTGTTTTTTGTTTGTCAAGTTTAATAAAAAAAATCGAATCATTTTATCCGAATCTACCGAAATTTTCAAAGGTATCTACCGAAAAACTGTTAAAATTGGCAACAGACTTAAAAAACATAATTTTAAGTATATATTCACAGTATTGCAGGGGATTGTGAAAGAACAGATTATAAATGTTTGAAAATCTGAGCAATTTCCTTTTTTTCTTCTTATTTATGTCACTTTATGAAATGTATTTGTTTTGGTAATAATTATATAATTATTTTTAAGTATGTTGTATTTATTGTAAATTGGAATCCAGTATATCTCAGAACAGCTTATGGAAAAAACCGCAATCAATATTACAGCAACTGAACCAAAAGCTGTTGCAAATATAATTAATATTTTTTACGTCACTGCGGGGAAAAATCTGGCTACTCAAATAACAGGGCAAATACTAGCAGAAGAAACAGCTAAAATATAGAGTAAAGATGTAAATGTATCTAAGACCAACAAACTTAAAATAAATAATCCTTATGATAAATAACTTAAAATCAAATGCCTTACTTTGATAGAATAACATAAAACCTAACTTAATAAATTTTTTTTTTAATGTCATTACTCCTGTACTAGTACAAATCAAGTCAGCTGATTAAACCGAACCAGGAAACTATAGGCTAATAACTAATCTAACAGTTTTTAGCAAGATATTTGAAAAAGTCTTACATATAAGGCTATCTAACCACATATATAATGCAGGGATATTAGCAGAAAGTCAACATGGATTTAAACCTACATCAACTATATCTTGACGCAACTTGACAGCAAACAAACAGTAACGGGTCTGATTTTAGATAACAAGAAGGCTTTTGACACTATAAACCTAGACTTACAAATTTTAAAAATGGAAAATATGAAAGTAGTAGGCAAGGCTCTAGTCATATTTCAGTCATACCTAACGCCAGTTTACAGTGGTAGGAAGTCAAAGTAGCATAATAGAGGAAAACGAATTTTGGGACCGTTCATGTATATACTCTATATAAATGACGGTATAATATAAATGGCAAAATACTCATGTACGCAGATGACCTGGCGATTTTCTACAAGAACGAAAATGACAAAGATTTAGAAAATAAAATTAAACAAGACCTGAATATACTACAAAAATAGACGAATGCTAATCAACTAATTCCACTGTAGGTAAATTTTCAACTCTTGAAATATCACAGCTAAACGCTCGCACACGTAAACATAATTTTTGGTCGTAGATTTAAAATCCGTGCTCGGTTTAGCTGTATCAGGTCTAAAAAAGTTTTTCCTGTCGAAAATACGATCCGGGGCACTGTATACTGGTATATTATAATTTGTAAATTAATTGTAATTTCACCTCCTGTGCCAACATTCTAAAGCTTTTTATTGCAATTAATATAATATCCTCAATAATTGAGGATATTATATTAATTGCAATAAAAAGCTTTAGAATGTTGGCACAGGAGGTGAAATTACAATTAATTTACAAATTATAATATACCAGTATACAGTGCCCCGGATCGTATTTTCGACAGGAAAAACTTTTTTAGACCTGATATAATTATTATACTCAATAAAAAAATTTTTGGCAATTTTTTTTTTTGAATTTTTTAACTTATCTATAAAAAACCCTCAGGGACACGTGTTCCTTTTGATCAATTAACTTAATTAGTTCATTATTTTTGCAATAATTCGTTTTTTTTCGGCCAAATTGATTTTTTTAAAATTTATACAGGGTGTTTAAATTTATACAGGATGTTTCCAATATCTTTGAATTTTGACCTGATACAGCTAAACCAAGCATGAATTTGTAATCTGTGACCAAAAAATAAGTTTACGTGTCCGAGCGTTTAGCTGTGATATTTTCACCTCCCTACAGTGTGCTAGATCATCAAAAATGCAACATAATAAACTTTGAATCAAGAACTCGAGAACATCATATGAACATCAAAACCTGGGATTAAACATCGACAAACAATTAAGCTGGAAGCAACACATACACAAGCTCAATTAAACAGTATAGTCATACATATATAATGCACAAATTAACTCCAACTCTACCTCTTAAACAAAGACTATTGCTTTATAATTAATATATAATACTATTGGTTTATAATTAATATACAAGTTTATGGAGACCGGAAAAATATGGGTGACATTCACAATATCGAAATTCATTATATCGAATTCAAAATATCGAACACTTTTTATCGAAAATCAAAATATCGAAAATACAAAATGTCGAAGATCAAAATATCGAAAATTCAAAATGTCGAAAATGATAATATCGAAAATTAAAATGTCGATTTGAAAATGTCGAATAATTAAAGGTAGTGTCTCCCCGACCGTCGGACGGACGTAGAAAAGTGTGTGCTCGACCGTCGGACGGACGTAGAAATGGATGTGCTCAACCGTCGCATATTTTAACCTCATTTTCAACTAGAGGCTAAATGTAGCAAATTATTCCTCAAGGTTATGACGAATAGCTGTCATTTTGGTTATGCAGGTACACTGCATTGTGCCATACCAAACTAACCCAAACTTAACAACCCAACCCAACCGACCCCGCCCCATTGGGCCCCTCCCGCCCCATTGTCACAATCCAGCCTGCCCTTAGATATATTATACCTCTATTGCCTCAATGGGGCGGGAGGGGCCCAATGGGGCGGGGTCGGTTGGGTTGGGTTGTTAAGTTTGGGTTGGTTTGGTATGGCACAATGCAGTGTACCTGCATAACCAAGATGACAGCTATTCGTCATAACCTGTATGACAGCGGTCGAGATTTTATTTTCGATAAATTGAAATTTCGATTAAATAAAATTTCGACATTTTCAAATCGACATTTTAATTTTCGATATTATGATTTTCGACATTTTGTATTTTCGATATTTTGATTTTCGATAAAAAGTGTTCGATATTTTGAATTCGATTTAATGAATTTCGATATTGTGAATGTCACCCGAAAAATATATCGATTTGAAATTTGTATAGCAATTATAAGGCAATGTAAACTATGTTTTAAAATTATATATTATATAAACGGGAAGTGATATTAACTTTGGTTTTTCCAATGGAACCATATTTTTTTATTTAATTAAAAAAATTTATACAGCGTGTCTGGTATTTACGTTGACTTTTTTGTCACTTTAAATACCAATAAATTTCTTATTTCAAACGAAACTACCATACAATTTTTTTTATCATTCGACACAAAATAATGTTTTCTATTGAAATGCTGCAGCATTCCCCATACCCAAAATAAATATTTAAATATATATATTAGGGTGTGCCAAAAAAACTCGATATTTTTTTTTTCTTGCTCTCCACCCAAAATATCGTAGAATATGTCCGAACAAATATTCTGTTAAAAGCGGAGCTCATAATTTCAATTTTAAGAGGTCCCTCATCGAATCTGAAGTTTTGCCGCTTAAATAACACAGAAAACTAACTTTTTTACCTTATTTATTCTTGCAACCTAGGAAGATTTTTTTTTTTCGTAAAATCCATGAACAATTCTTACAAAGCATTAAATTTGGACAAAAAAATCTTATTAAGCCGAATTTCTATTTTCATTATTTAATTTTTTACATAGCTTTAAATTTAAAGATAATAATACAAAAATGATGACTTTATACGCCTGTAACTTTTAGAATATTGACGATATAAAAAATTCGCCTAAAACTTTTTTGTGGTTCATCAGACAAGCTAAAAAATTACCATTTGACTTTTTCGTCTAACTTCAATAGTTTAGCTAAAAAAGGCAAAAAACGTAAAATTTTAAATTTAAAGCTCTGTAAAAAATTAAATAATGAAAATAGAAATTCGGCTTAATAAGATTTTTTCGTCCAAGTTTAATGCTTTGTAAGATTTGGTCATGGATTTTATGAAAAAAAAATTTCTTCCTAGGTTGCAAGAATAAATAAGGCAAAAAGGTCAGTTTTCTGTGCTATTTAAGCGGCAAAACTTCAGATTCGATGAGGGACCTCTTAAAATTGAAATTATGAGCTCCGCTTTTAACAGAATATTTGTTCGGACATATTCTACGATATTTTGGGTGGAGAGCAAGAAAAAAACTATTTCGAGTTTTTTTGGCACACCCTAATATATATATATATAAATGATCTTAGTCTGTATAATATAAATGGCAAAATACTCAAGTACGCAGATAACCTGGCGATTTTCTACAAGAACTAACATGACAAAGATTCAGAAAATAAAATTAAACAAGACCTGAATATACTCCAAAAATAGACGAATGCTAATAAACTAATTCCACTGTAGGTAAATTTTCAACTCTTGAAATATCACAGCTAAACGCTCGCACACGTAAACATAATTTTTGGTCGTAGATTCAAAATCCGTGCTGGGTTTAGCTGTATCAGGTCTAAAAAAGTTTTTCCTGTCGAAAATACGATCCGGGGCACTGTATAGTGTATACTGGTATATTATAATTTGTAAATTAATAGTAATTTCACCTCCTGTGCCAACATTCTTATGATTTTTATTGCAATTAATATTATATCCTCAATTATACTCAATAAAAAAATTTTTTGCAAAAAATTTTTTGAATTTTTTAACTTATCTATAAAAAACCCTTAGGGACACGTGTTCCTTTTGATCAATTAACTTAATTAGTTAATTAATTTTTGCAAGAATTTGTTTTTTTTTTAATTTATATAGGATGTTTAAATTTATACAGGGTGTTTCCAATATCTTTGAATTTTGACCTGACACAGCTAAACCAAGCATGAATTTGTAATCTGTGACCAAAAAATAAGTTAGCGTTTAGCTGTGATATTTTCATCTCCCTACAGTGTTCTAGATCATCAAAAATGCAACATAATAAACTTTGAATCAAGAACTCAAGAACATCATATGAACATTAAAATTACGGATCCAGTAACAACAATCAAATACCTTAGATTAAACATCGACAAACAATTAAGCTGGAAGCAACACATACACAAGCTCAATGAGACAGTATGGTCATACATATATAATGCACAAATTAACTCCAACTCTACCTCTTAAACAAAGACTATTGGTTTATAATTAATATACAGGGTGATTCACCAAACTTATTTATTAGGAGAACGGAAAAATATATCGATTTGAAATTTGTATAGCAATTATAAGGCAATGTAAACTATGTTTTAAAATTATTTTCCATGCGTTATCACTTCCGGTGAAACGGGAAGTGATATCAACTTTGGTTTTTCCAATGGAACCATATATGTAAATATTATTACTTTTTTCAATTCTACGTAAAATTCTAAAAATACTAAAACTTGATTATTTTTTTTATTTTTATTAGTTTTTGAGATATTTAATTTTTTTCAAAAATTTTGACAGATGGATGGTCTTACTAATATGTCTGTATTACCACTTATTATAATGTTAAAAAGTTAATTTTTGGAGTACTTGTTAACTAAGGAGCACTTTATCGAAAGCCATTGGGACGTATTAATATGTGTCGTGAACAACACTTGGGTTAAATTGAACAATTATTTTAGATTTGTTTTATTTGTTACATTTGTTTAGAAGAAAGGATAAATACACACCTACAGAACAACTATATAAGAATACCCAGCAACTAAGAATTGAAGAATTGAGACAATTAGAAACGTACAAATTAGTTTCCAAGATCGTAATGAAGCAGATACAGGATAAGGAGGTATCATTTAAAAAAAGAGCAATCACACATGAACACAACACTAAAGAACGAGAACAATTAGACATAGAAAAATAGAAAAAGCCAACACACAATATTGAGAAATAAAAATAAAACATCAAGGGTACAGACCACAGACCTACAAACAGGTAGGTCTGTGGTACAGACTATACAAAAAAATCCCACTGAATATACAAAACCTAAACCAGACTTTCTTTCAAACAAGTTTAAAAGCTTTAACCCTAAACCAAAAAGACACTATTTATTTATCTTAAAAAAAATTATCTATTTAATTAACTAGCATTTATATTCATATAGAATATTTTATTTATTTGTAACATTATATACTGTTATGTTATCTGTAATTATCATTACGGTAATATTTGGAATCTATTTATTTTTCAATAAAAAAAATTGGTTGCCCATTAAAAAACCGCCACTCTCCCTTCTAAGACTACACACTATAGTAAAAAAACTTACATCTTAAAATCGACGACGTGGTTCTCCTCTCCCTTCTCTCCTCTGGCGGGGGTTCCACCGACGTCATAATTTCCATCTCGCGCATCTGTTCTTGCCGTATGTTGTCGTTGTTATCCGGAATCAGGTACTTTCGCACTTCGGCGAGGGCGAAGGCGACGCGCGCATGCGCCTCGGCAGGTGGTCCCAGCGCGGATATTTCCACGTGCAAGTCGTCCGATAGATGGCTGTACTTAGGGTCAAGCGAGTTGCGCAGCTCCTCTTCCTTCTGCCGGTCCTTCATGGACCCGCGGCCAAGCACGGCCATCTTGCACATCGTTTCCTCTTGAAGGCGCTTCATCGAGTTGCCTTTTGGTCCCAATAGTTTACCGACGAAATTAAACTGGAAATAATTTGTTAATTTCTGCTGTTTTTCATAGGATTTGGTTTTAGACTTACTTTAGGGTGTTCTCTTACTGGTACTAATACTTTTACGGTTACTTTTATTGGCTTTTCCCGGTAAATGTCTACGTATTTTACTTCTTTAAGGGGGGCTTTTCCTATTTGTTGCGTTTTTGAAATTTCTGAAATAAAAAATTATATAAATACAAAGAATATGTATTTTATAACAATATCTATTAGGGATCGACCGATATGGATTTTTTGGCCGATACCGATTATCGGCCGATACCGATATATGCGATATCTATATCGGCCGATACCGATATATCGGCCTCATTTTTATTTTTTAATTATTATTATTATTATTTTTTTGATTTTTTCGTAAAATACTTTGCAAAAAAATTAATGACTGAATGTGCCCTAGAAAATTTCGCTAGGCGTGGACACCTCCGAATTGACCAATAAGGACCGTGCGCTGTCCACCCAGAGGTGTGCGGTACTCGAGTACAAGTACTCAAACACTGTACTCCAAGTACTTTTAGTGTACTCGGTACTCAGTCCTTTAATTTGAATGTACCTATACTTGTACTTGATACATTTAAGATTGCAAAAATGTACTCGAGTACTTTTCCGTGTACTCGAGTACTTTTCCGTGTACTCGAGTACATCCAAAGTATGCAATGAGTACATTTTTATGCAGTGAGGTTGGCGTGGATAAATATGTGCAAATATGTGCGTGGGTGTTGAAAATTAGGCAACACTGCTCAGACTTGTCAAATTACGGACATGCTGCCTGAGGCAGCCTCAGCCAGCTTGCCTCACACGACAGCATTAAGACAGCTTCAATCAATAAATAAAAAGACACAGGAAAGAGCATTGAACAAAAGGTTTTTACTTATGTATGAAATGTAATTTTGTTTATAGGTAGAAATAAGGTGACAATATTCCTCAAAAAGATAATTAAAAAATAAAGCTAAGGCAAAGGAAAACAAGATACTCGCCGGCCTTGATAATTAACATAAAGCGAAACATCAATATTTGATGAAGGCAATAGGCCGGCTAGAATTTAGTTCTGCACTAGTGATTCTAAATTCATTTCTTAATCGCCCCATTCCTCTAGAATTTTTCCCAACATTTCATAACTAAAGTGTACTCGGTACTTTGTACTCGTATGGGTACTCGAGTACAACGGTACTGTACTTGTACTTGGTACTCGAGTACTTTTATATAAGAGTACTTGTATTCAGTACTCGAGTACTTTTTCATTGTACTCGAAACAGCTCTGTGTCCACCACGTAATTATCGCGTGGTAACGGGCCATGCGCTTGCGAAACGGCTGTTTTGTTTGTTGTTCTCATAGACAAAGTTCTTTGTTTTTCGATACGTGAATTAAGTTGAATGTCATGTCCAAAATAAAAGCACTACTTTTGATGAAATACAAGTACAACATGGGACCAAAAAAAATGATTCAAGCTGTCAGCACTCGTTGTAACTAACTAAGTTTTATATGTTGGAGCGCCTCTTGGAATTGAAAAAAGCTATCAATCTCTTCATTGTGAAATTTGACTGATTTGAATTATCATGAGTGGGAACTGGTACAGAGCCTAATCAATCTATTGAAGCCCTTTGAAGAGATCACAAAAATCGTCAGTCACTCAAACTGTTGCATATCGGAAGTTAACCCACTCGTTTCAACACTTGAAGCTTATTTGAACAGTGAAGGAAGCAATTTCGCTGGCTTCGGAACAATGAAGGACGAATTAAAAAATAATTTGAAGCTTCGTTTCAAAGATGCAACTTTAAAAAATTATCTGTTGTTTGCCACGTTCCTGGACCCGCGCTTTAAAGGAAATTTTTTTACACCTAACAAATGCAAAATTGTTATTGCGGACCTTAAAAGAGAATACGAAATTATCCAAAAGCACGACGTCGAAGTGGTTGGGAGTGACAAAAATGACAGTAGTAATGAAAATGTATCATTGGCAACTTTGATTTTGTCAACTGCTAGTGCAACACCACCACCATCTAAAAAAAAGAAAATGAAACCACCCGCGATTCCCACGAGCTATTTTGGTCAGTTTATAATGAATTGGCAAAAGGTCCCTCTTCTTTAAAAGCTGAACCTACAAAGATCGAGGAAGAAATAAAGGGCTACAGGTCGTGCTTGGTGCTCGAAAAAACTGAAAATCCTTTTAGTTGGTGGAATAATAAGAAAGACCTGTTCCCGGCCTTGTATTTGCTGGTCAAGATTTATCTTTCTGCGCCTGCTGGGAGTGTTGCTAGTGAGCAGCTTTTTTCGCAAGCCGGTAATATTTACCAATCGGCGAGGAATCGGCTAACACCCGACAGGGCAGAAAGCCTTATTTTTCTTCATTACAATTTAGAAAAACTTAATTTTAAGTATTAATAATTAATTCAATAATTTTAAAACTACTTTAGAATATTTTTTGTTTTGTTTTTTTTAATTAAGAATTTTTTTATGTTTATTTATTTTTTGTGTTGTTATATATAAAAGAAACTACGTTTATATGATTTTTGATTTTTCTATATTTCAAGATCATTTTGAATATAATTTTTAAGTGTTTTTAAGAAGCGTTTTCAAATTTAAATATCGGCCGACATATCGGCCAAATATAGGCCGATAGGCCGATATACCAAAATTAGGCCGATATACCGATATAGTATATCGGTATCGGTCGATCCCTAATATCTATTATATAAGTTGCAACAAGCATTTTTTATAGGACGGAGAGAAGTTTTAAGTGGTTCTACTAATTAACCCTTAATATCCAGTATATAAATATATAAGACTTTTTACACTATACATATTTTTATTTTTCTGTTGCATTGTTTTGGTATTAAGCAGTACCACAATCAAAAATTGTAAGTAAAAGCTACCGTAATTAAATTAAATACTATTGTTATTTATTATAATCTGTTCAATTTTTAATACTTAGTGCTCATTCATAATGGACGTCAGTAAGAAATACGTAAAACGTAAAGTTGAATATTAACAAAACCAGTGCGCCTGTTTATAATGAGTATTTTAACGTTTTAAGTTCGGACATAAGATCTTATGGGTGACCGTAAAAATACCTAAAGTTGAAATGAACTCAACTTTACGGGTTTCTTATGTGTGAATTTTAGTAATTTTCATGATTTCACTGACCAACATTGTTGATAGCAATCAGGCTGTCATGCAAACAGATGACAGATGTTTTTCTAGTGTATTCTGGTGTATCTAAAGAACCACCAAGGTTATGATAACACTAATAGTTTTAAGACATAATGATTAGACAAAAGCTTTCAATGCTGTCATTTTAGTGAACTTGGACATGCGCGCCTTATTAATATATACATAAGGCATACGTTCATTATAAACACAGCTCCTCGTTTCGTACAAATTATGGTGATATTATTCTTCCGTTTTATGGACATCTTATGGTTACGTCCATTATGAATGAGCACTCTATCTCTTTTTTTTATTTTAAAAAGGTGGACAAAACTTTTGTATTTTTTGTATTGATTCTTTGATACTGCCAACAAAATAGGATATTACCCAAATTTAATTTTATAAACATATAGTACAGAATACATTGTCAATACTAGCGAAAAAAAGGTTTCTTTTCAAATGCCCGTAAAAAATTAATTTTACAAAAGGTTTTTTATAAAAAACAAAGATAGTTTTATAAAAAAAAATATTTATATATTTATACTAAAATTTAATAATAATAAAACTTGTATGCCACATTTGGTTTAATTAATGTCCGTACTAATGGCAGAAAATTAAAATAATGGCAAATGTAGAGACTATTAAAATCAATTTATCGTACTGATATCAATCCAATTATGCAAGCTATTCATTTTTAGTAGCGCCTATTTGCTCAAAAATTATACAATTTTTAATTACAAGCATAATTTATTGAATAATTTATTAAAATCTTATTAATTACACAAAAAGATCTTACAATTAGATTTAATTTCCTATGGTAGCCATAATTTAAAATTAGGGAAATCAGTAACCTTATGTTTCTTAATGCATCCTTTTATTCTTCTAAAGATTTAGTCCTTATTATTGTGCTAATGTGGCCAAATTATTGTAAAACGGACCCTTTGGCGTTTCCTTTACTGAAAGGAATTCTTACACCAAATGGTATTTAAGGCCAAAAACCCTATTTATAAGGAAATAAAATGTTAATCTATAGATTTATCTATCAACTTTTAGTTTTTTTCAAACTTTATAAAGGAGATAGTTCTAAAGACATATGGTACCTATGACTTCTCATTTTCAAGTAGCTCTTGTTAAGTCCTTAGGATGCATCGTTTCCTTTGACATAAAAAACTAAAAATATAAATTAAGATAACATTTAATTTTTCAATTGGTTTATTTCTTGCAAAATTACAGACTATTGAAACATATTTGATACATATACATACATTGTAGCTCAGTCAAATTAGGCGAAAAATCCCAGGACCATTTTTATGTAGATTTAGGTACATGAGGAAATTTTTTATAATACAAAAAATTAAGGTAAACCAATAGTTTATAAAATAATAGAGATTTTCACGATCTTTATGCGCATTGCTTCAATTTTTTTCAGCCTCATATCCCAAGAACTACTTACATTTTGTGTAGGATCATTTTTATGCAGATTTACCAGAGGAACAAATTTTATTACAACCAAGATTTGCGTAAAATTTTAATTTTGTTTTAATAATACATATGTGGCATTTTACGTCAAGAGGATAACAAAAAAATACAAGTTCTCCGATGTTGATAAAATTTAAAGGACCCATTTTTTGGATTACGAAGGGGCCGCGCCACGTATTTTGTAGACCGTGAAATTTTATTAAATATTTTAGAAATGCCAATGACAAATCATTTTACAGACTGAAATTCGCCATCTAAAGTGGAATTTTCATTATTTTAAACTATTATAAAAATAATAATTTTAATTCTTCAGGTCTTTTATAAAGCATTTAACTTATAGTTTAAAACATAATTTCCAAATGATAAACATTCCACTTTACTGAACAAGGGCATCCAATTACCCGGTGAAAAACTAGGGGCAATAATCATTACCGGACCCAATTTATAACTTTTCCAATTTAAATGACCGTAGAAATTTGTGGAAAAGCCCGCCGCATTTTGCATATAATAGAAAATAAATTCGCCCACTTA